GAGCCAATCTCTCATACCATGCCCTTGGAGCCTGCTTCAGACCATAGAGTGCCCTCTTTAAACGATACACATGATCCGGAAAGTGTGGATCCTCAAACCCTTTAGGTTGTGCTACATAGACTTCCTCTTGTAACAGACCATTAAGAAAAGCACTCTTAACATCCATCTGATACAGTTTGATTCTTAACTTACATGCAATCGCAAACAAAAGTCTGATTGACTCAAGGCGTGCAACTGGTGCAAATGTCTCATCAAAATCCACTCCTTCAATCTGCGAATAGCCTTGTCCAACTAGTCTCGACTTGTTTCTGATTGGATTACCATTCTCGTCAGTCTTGATCTTGTATATCCATTTGGTGCCAACCACATTAACACCCTCTGGTCTTGGAACTAAATCCCACACTTGAAGTCTCACAAACTGCTCCATCTCTTCATGCATTGAGGCTGTCCAGAACTCGTCATCTAGTGCTTCTTGTAAGGTCTTTGGTTCAGTTTGTGAAATGAAACAATCTTCCTTAGCCATTTCAGCCATAAGGCACGCAAGTTTGACCATTTCCTTGAAATCAATTTGCTTCTTTCTTGTGAGTCTTGGATCCAGCAATCCTCCTATGATGTCATCGGAAGAATGATTCTTGTGTACCTTGACTGATTCCTGAGATGATTCTTCAGCTTCCTTGTTTGACACAGTCACGGAGTTTTCATCTTCATTGTTGAGTTGTGGTACACACACACTTCGCTGTGTCACACCATCTTGATAAAAACCGACTCTATCATCAAAGACAACATTCACTTTCTCATCAATCGTTCTTGTTCTTGAGTTATACACCCGGTATGCTGAGCTATTTGTTGAGTAACCGAGAAACATTCCAACATCACTCTTGGAGTCGAACTTTCCAAGATGATCTTTGTCATTTAGAATGTAACAAAGACACCCGAACACATGACAGAAACCAAGGTTTGGGGTTTTTCCTCGGAGTAGCTCATAAGGTGTAGTTTTGGTCTTGGGCTTTACATAGACTCGGTTGATAATGTAACACGCCGTGTTGATGGCTTCAGCCCAGAACTTTGATGGAACATGGTTTCCAG